TAGTGACATTCCAAAGGGTTGGCTCCCAGGCCCTTGAGAAAGACTTTCATGGGTTGTAAAACTAAGAGTAGGCTTTTCAAAATTATTTACATATACCTCAAAGGGGGCAAGAATGAATTTACAACTATAAGTTGTTGTAGTTTGGATGTGAAATGTTCCATGAATGCTCATGTGTTGAAGTTTTGTTTCCCAATGCAGCAGGTGGGGCTTTTGGGGAGTGATTTGGATCATGAGGGTTCTCACCTAAGCAATGGATTAATCTGTTGATGGAATCATAATTGAAAGAACTTTTGGAAGGTGGTGAAAATGTGGAAGGTGGGCCCTGATGGAAGGAAGTGGGTTGCTGGGGGTGTGCCTTTGAAGGATCTATCTTGTCTGCAGCCTCTTCTTCTGTTTGGTTCCTGCATTCCATGAGGTGAGCAGCTGTGCTCTAGTATACCTTCTCCATCATGATGTTCTGCTTTACTACAGGTCCACAGCAATGGGGCCAAGTTACCATGAACTGAAACCTCTGAAACTACAAGCCAAAATAATGTTTTTTCCTTGTAAATCATTTCTCTCAGGTATTTGTCACAGTGATAAAGTTCTCATTAACAGACACTTTTTTCCTAAGCCAGATGTGGTGGTATACTTCTGTAATTCTAGCACTCAGAAGACTGAGTAGGATGACCTTGAGTTTGAGGCCAGCCTGGGCTATGCACTAAGATCCTGTCTGAAAACAAACAAACAAACAAACAAATAAACACCAAATGTATTTCTAAAGAAAATGCTCTATGAGTCAGGAAGAAACCATTAAGGCTGCCTTTGTCAAAAGGAATAATAAACTCTCTTAAATAATCTAGTTCTCTAAAAATTTAGTAGGGTTCCTATTTAAAAATATAAGTCTAAATTAATTAGCCAATTACACATTTTAAATCACATGTCTTAACTTACTGAAATGGCTAATTTATCTTGGAACATTTAAAATTCTTCCGTTAATTATGCAGTTATGCACAGTTCCTTCTTCTTGTTCTTCTTCTTCTTCTTCTTCTTTTTTGTGGTACTGGAGTTATAAACTCATGACCTCACACTTGCTAGGCAGGTGTACCTCAGGTAGCACTTGATCTATTTCACCAACCCTTTTTTGTGCTGGGTAAGTTCTGAACTATTTGCCTGGTTTGCTTCGAACTGTGATCCTCTTGATCTTTGTCTCCTGAGTAGCTAGGATTACAGGTGTGAGCCACTGGAGCCTGGGGTGCACAGTTTATTCTTTAAACATGGAAAAAATATTATAGGGAAGTAGGCTAGAATCTTGGCTGTAACCTTGATAGGACACTACATGTCTATAGGCGGTATCAAGGACCCTCTAGCTAAGGTTGGCTCTGTAGCCAGCATTGCTGGGAGTCTGGTCACACATTGCTCACTTATTCTTTCTGGTCATGGAAGTCTGTAATTCTCCTTTCAGGCACCACAGACAGTTTAACTAAGCCCAGCAGATGCAGACACAGTTCTAGCCTGGCCATCTTGCTGGATGTACATGATTGCTCAGGGGTGCTCTTGGCTCATCAAAAAGTTTTGAATTTGGCAGACTTTTAAGTATTCAAGTTGTATTGTTGTAGCTTTAACCCCAGAGGCCTTCACTGTAGGAAGGTTGTGACACCCAACCAGTGGTCTTCAAATAAATACCTTCCCCACTGGGGGTAAAATGACAACTTTCTGAGGAACAAAAGGGGAAACAATTTTAAGAGAATCAATTTCATTTTTCTTATAGATGTACTGTATGTACTTTTTCTTAAATTTGATCTGCTTGTGAGTGTACCTGACACCATCTAGTTAATTCTCCTTCCCCTTATAATTAGAATTATTTTCTCTGTTACCAAAGGCAAACCCTAATCCTTTTGAAAATTTACTAAAGTGCATTGCCTGGGTACAAAACACTCTGAGATGACAATCAAAGAGATGATTTGAAATATTAATGTGTGTATTGATTAAGTGAATAAGTAACACATCCTTTTATTATTCAGTTGATTTCCAGTATTTGTTTTTTTCAAAAATAACTTAAGAAGTGTCTAATTTTTTTTTTTTTTTGCTCAAAATGATTTAGTTACACATGAAGAAGTCAGGATCGATAAAGAAAGAGAAAACAGCTGCAGACAAGTGAGCAGACTCAGGAATGTGTTTACCTCCACTTGATGATGTCTTTCCTATATGAGTTTCCCCAGTAAAAGCCCCTTGGTTTCTTTGTTCGGGGACACAATGCGTTGGGAATCAGCCCCAGGGCTCTTCTTACATGGGGCAGTTCATCCTTTTATCTTCTGGTTGTGCATATGGGCTTTGCACCCACCAAGGAGGGAATCATTTCCTTTAGTTACACCGAGGACACAGCAATGAGCTTTAGCAGATGTGGCTCTGCCCTCATGGAATTTGTAGCCTATGGACTCTGTATAGTATCATAATGTTAGGTTTGAAGGAACACAGGAGATATAATTCCCCAAATATGCTGATGGGTATATTGATTACTTTAAACTCAAGGGAACCGTAGGTGCATGAGAGGAATTTTCCCTGAATCTCCTCTGTGTGATCAAAAGGAGTTTCTCCCAATACTGTCAGAAACTGTCAAGAAAACTCTGCCTGGAATTCTCAGGGGAAATCAACACACCAGTGGCAAGAAGAGACAAAAATTCTACATCTGATCCAGACATGCTATTACCTATTCATCTGAGGACCCATTCTTCTTGCCCTAATAATTCACTCTTCCTAGTTTGCCTACATATTCCCTCTTCCCTGTTTCTTATAGAGAGGATAGCTAAAGCTTTAGCTTACACTGGGTTTTTGAGTATTCACTTTTCTTTTCTTTCTTTTTTTTTTTTTTGCAGTGCTGGGGCTTGAATTCAGGGCCTACACCTTCAGCCACTCCACCAGCCCTTTTTTGTGATTTTTTTTTTTTTTTTGAGATAGAGTCTCATAAACCATTTGCCTAGGCTGGCTTTGAACCAAGACCCTTCTGACTTCTGAGTAGGTAGGATCACAGGTGTGAGCCTCCAACCCCGATAACAGCTCATGGAATACTATTTTTTTTTTTTGGCGGCACTGGGATTTGAACTCAGGGCCTCATGCTTGCTAGGCAGGTGCTCTAGCACTTGAGCCACTCCACCAGCCCTTCCTGTATTCACTTTTCTATCATATGATGCCCCATGCTTAATAATAAATTTTATGTCACTGTCTCAATAATTGTCAGTTTTATGGAGGCTCAATTATCAAACCTGAAGAAGGCAGGGAGGAGAAGCTCCCTTTACCCCTAAGGATATTAGAGGAGGATTTCTGACAGTAACTAGAGCAGAAATCACAGGTATAGATGAGCATGAAAAACAAAACCAAAAAACAAAAGGACTGACTGATAGGATTTCAGAATGCAGTGATGGGGACGAAGAACATTTCAGATAGAGGAGAGAAGAAAAAAAGAAAAATTATGAAAATAGTGTATGTAGCCTGAAACTGGAATGTGGACCTAAATTCTAGAAGCTCCTTTAAGACAGATCAGGAGGACCCAATTGTCCCTAAGTGTATTGGCTAGGAGTTCAGCACTGTTAAGAATGTTAACGTGGGGGTGAATATGATCAAATATACATGTATAAAAATGTCACAATGGAAACCACTATTTGTATTTAAATTTTTTTTGGTGGTACTGGTGTTTTGAACTCCCAGCCTCACACTTGCTAGACAGGCTCTCTACCACTTGAGCCACTCCAACAGCCTGGAATCCATCATTTTGTACAATTAATATATGGAAATGAAAAATATTTTTAAAAAGAATGCTAGTGTCATGACAGGTCTTTATTGTAAGCATCCTTTAATATTTTCTTCTTCAAATAATCTAAGCTGTGGGGAGATGCCCTTTGGCCCCTTGATTGACAGCTGTCAGGCCCTTCCCTTGTGCATGGCTGCCTTGGGGAGACGCCAATCAAGCCTCCCCTTCTTTAGTAACCTGCAGTGGCCTGTCAATGGCAGCCTGGCTCCTCTGAATTCTTCAAAGACACCCTAAGGAAACTCCACTCTACCTGCGAAGACCATAGTGGCATGGCTGTTGGTGAAGCCGTAACTCCTGCTTTAGGAAACCTTGCTCAATCATGGCTGCTCCAGACAACTTGCACTAGCGCCTGGAGGCCTCGCTTGTGCTGTGACAAACCTCGATGACCGCTAGATGTCGTCGCCTGCAGTCACTTCCGATGGCTCCACCCATCTTGCAGCTATTCTCGCTGGGGTGGGCAGGGAGAGCAAATGTCTTGGGATTTAGCTGCTGTATCTCACAGGTGGTGACAACCCTCCACTCACAGACTTGCCTAAAGCAGTTTTTCAACAGCAGCAATACTGGCTTTGGAGCCCAGATAATTCTCTGTGGCTGTTTTATGCACTGCAGGTTGCTTAGCAGCATGGCTGACCTTTACTTACAAGACCCCAGTAGCGTTCTGACCCGCCAACCCAACTGTGGTGTCGAACCACTGCTCCGGCCATAAAGGTGTGACCGAGGTGACTGTATCCAAGAGATGACGGAAGGCTCTACATAAATACAAACTCTGGTGCAGTTTACAACGCGTTTTCTTTTTCATTTTTCAAAAGAGGCCGACGTCGCAAGGCTGTCATCGGGAACCGCGAAGTGGCAGGTTCCAGGATTTTGTGGGTTTCCCGGCAGAGTCCACGCCGCTTGGGGCCTTCGCAGTGCACGCTGGGACTTGTAGTTCTGAGAGTAGGGCCCTTCCGCGACCACCAGATACTTCCTCTCTGCGCTGTGGACCGCGGCTCCCGGAAGCTGAGAAGGGTTAAAGCGTCTATGCTTCCTTTCCCCGCCTCTTAGTCCCGCAGATTGGCAATTCCAAAAGCCAATAGATGGTCTGATTGGTGCCTCTTGTTATCTGATTGGCTTCGAGTTTTGTAACCGCTCAGACAAACTTGTAGACAATTGGCTGAGCCTTCAGTTTTGAAAATCGTAGATTTCGCCCGCGCTGCTCCGCCCGGTTGCTTCTCGGGTGAGGTGAGCCCTGAAGGCCGTGAGCCGAGTGGGTCTGGGCAGGCGGGGATTCAGCTACGGAGGCAGAGGATTTGGATCGGAGCAGCCCTTAGGAGACCGGTGCAGTCGAGTGAGTGCGCTAGGGAGGGAGGGCGGCCGGCGGGGTCGGGGTGATTGGCGTCCCAGCAGCCGGATCCTTGTTACAATGACTCCTCCTTTCTCAGGGTCACTCACTTCTAACTTTTGGTAACCCTTTTTTTAAATGGCCAAGGTAAGGTCTGCTAAGACACATTTCCCCATGGAAGAGGTCCACATGCTTTTTTTGGACTTGTGAAACACCCACTTTGCCAGTTTGAATAAATACTTTGTATTTTTATTTGTAGCTCCTCTGCAAATCTTTGGCTTCCTTGAACAGTTTTCTCTTTTGCTGGCCTTGAACCGGGGGATAGGGCTGGGGCTCTTTACGAAGGCTGTGGTCTGGGTGCAGAGGGGCTTTGCCAGGTGGGATGGGGGTAGAAGCGAGAGGGATGGCAGTGGAGAGGCTGGGCCCATGACTAGCTGCCTGCAAAGCAGAGGTCTTTGCCTAAAGTTGTGCCTGTTTGGCCTTGCCTCAATTTTAGTGCTGCCCCTGGCATCCAGGCGCGGGCCTTTGGGTGTGTATTGGCCTGTCCTAACCTGTGCGGAGTTGTGCATTGAGTGTTCTTGTGTGCGGTGGCGGTGGGGAGGAGAACCCATAGGATTAGTTGATGGATGGATTAATTCCTTTAACAAAAGTCAGGCACTGTGCAGGGCTCTAGGCTTTCTGTGATGAGCTAGACAGATAAGGGCTTGCCCTCAGGAAGCAGTGTTTAGTGGGCAGAGACAAACAATGAGCAAAACATAAACAATCACTCAGGTGCTTTGCAGAGAATTGATATCAGTGGATGAGATTGTGCCTGGGGGCTACTTTAGATTGGTGGTTAGATCCTCCCTGATGATGGGAGTGATGAAGTCATATGGTACGTTCCAGATGGAGGGCAAAGTCTAGCATGCCCCCAATATCAGGCCCAAGGAAGTTCCCTGGGCTGCAAACTGACGTGATGCTAAGCTCCAGGAGGACCAAAGGGTCAGCAATGTAGCCTTTCCTTGTAGGACCTATCATCCTAAGGGGGAGGCTGAGCTGTGAATGATTCTTCTTGATTTAGAAGGCATAAATCAGGGTGGTGGGCTGCTGTCCTGGCATGAGGCATGCAGTCTGTTTTTATGGTTTATAGCCATCATGTGTGCACTCATTTGTTTTTTCATTCATTCATCAGTTGGCATAATTATTGCTCCCTTGCTATGACTAACAGAATATTCCCTCCTCCCCTGGGACTTTTGTGATGATTTTATAACTAAGTCCTAAGGAGGATACCCAAGCTCCTAGGTTTTTAAGAAGTTAAGAAAAATCTGGTTTTGTGTTTTCTCTTACTTGGTATTTGTAGAAAACCTAAAAGCAAGACATTGCTTATCTGCTCCTCTCAGGATCCCTCATCCATTTATAGGGCATTTCAGTTCTAGGAAGAGGTTGTGAGGGCCTCTTGGAGAGCATGTCTCTGGACACCTACTTTCTTATGCACTCTTGTGGAATGCAGAACTCCTATCTAGACACTGACTTTTTAAAGAGGCAGTTGGATTTGATGTCTGATGGTCAGCTTCTGTTCAGTAGAGTGTTTTAGCCCTTACTTACCCACCCAGGAACAGTAGGAGAGCCACAAGGAGAGTAAGAGCAGGCCAGTGTTCAAGCAGGTAGAGGGACTACTGGGGTGACTGTCTCTTCCTCCAGAAAGGCAGTGGCAGTGCCCTGTCATCTTAAACCCAGAAATGACCATTTGTAAGGTTCATATCAGAATTGGTTGGGAAATGTGGACTTACAGGGACAGCCATGCTCTGGGTATGTGTGTGTGTTGGGGGAAGAGGGGGTTGAAACTTATCAAGTAGAAGGGCCCATCTTCTTGTAGAAAAGAGGCCATTGGGTTGGCATTCAGAGTCCTGCATCTGGGGATGGGGCTGTGTATAGGAAGGGGCCCTAGTTCAGTCACTGAGTATTTTGTGATTTAGTGTTGGGGGCTGTGGCCTGGCCAACTCTTCTTCCAGTTCCCAGACCTGAGCTCTTGGTGCCTCTTGTCCTTGCCTTCACCAGAAAAGAGTCAACATGGGGACCTCAGCCCCAGGGCCCATTCACCTGCTAGAGCTCTGCGACCAGAAGCTGATGGACTTTGTCTGTAACATGGACAATAAGGACCTGGTGTGGCTCAAGGAGATTGAGGAGGAGGCCAGACGCATGTTCACCAGGTGAAGGCAGGGGCCTGCTGTGTGGGACTGCTGGGGCTTTGGGGGTACAGTAGTCCTGCCTTCTTGCTTGACAAGCAGGACAGATAGCTTGTCAGAGCTCCTTTCTGAGCTCCTGGTTTGCTGGAGCCTTAACCTAGTGTCATGGGCAGGGGAAGAGAGGTTGAGTCCCTTGCCTGGCTCATCGTAGATGGCTGGGCTGGGCCTCTCAGAAGTGGGGCTGTAGTGACTCGCCTAGAACTTGCTTCCCTGCCATGTCTCCAAAAGGAAGCCCTGAGTGCCTGGCGGGTGAATTGTATATTCCTTTGGAGAGCTTGCTTGATGTTGGCATCACTGCTTGACCCATCATTGCCAGGGACAGGGGAGGAGGATAGGCCATTGGGAGAGGGGCTGGCAGTTCCCAGGAAGCCTCAGTGTCACCCTGCTTGTACTAAACAGAGAATTCAGCAAAGAGCCAGAGCTGATGCCCAAAACTCCTTCTCAGAAGAACCGACGAAGGAAGAGACGGGTTTCTTATGTTCAGGATGAAAACCGAGACCCCATCAGGAAAAGGTATGGTGAGCCAGGGAAGGGTGAGCCAGGCAGGTAGTCTTGGTGGAGGCTTGGTGCCTTCTGAGAGACTTTGCTTCTAAAGGTGTTAATAGGAGCAGCAGCCTGAAGCAGTGGTGTTGGGTTCCCTCTGCTGAGGGGGCGAGATATCACTGAGAGGAGTTCAGAGTGTGTGTGTGTGTGTGTGTGTGTGTGTGTGTTCTGTGTATGTATGTGTGTGTGTGTTCTGTGTATGTATGTGTTGAGTGTGTGTGTGTGTTCTGTGTATGTATGTGTTGAGTGTGTGTGTGTGTTCTGTGTATGTATGTGTTGAGTGTGTGTGTGTTCTGTGTATGTATGTGTTGAGTGTGTGTTCTGTGTATGTACGTGTGTGTGTTCTGTGTATGTGTTGAGTGTGTGTGTGTTCTGTGTATGTATGTGTTGGGTGTGTGTGTGTGTGTTCTGTGTATGTATGTGTTGGGGGTGTGTGTGTTCTGTGTTTGTATGTGTTGGGGGTGTGTGTGTGTTCTGTGTGTATGTATGTGTTGAGTGTGTGTGTGTATGTATGTATGTGTTGAGTGTGTGTGTGTGTATTCTGTGTATGTATGTGTTGAGGGTGTGTGTGTGTTCTGTGTATGTATGTGTTGAGTGTGTGTGTGTGTTCTGTGTGTGTATGTGTTGAGTGTGTGTGTATGTATGTGTTGAGTGTGTGTGTGTGTTCTGTGTGTGTGTGAGTGTGTGTGTGTGTGTTCTGTGTATGTATGTGTGTGTGTGTTCTGTGTGTGTATGTGTTGAGGGTGTGTGTGTGTGTTCTGTGTATGTATGTGTTGAGTGTGTGTGTGTATGTGTGTGTGTGTATGTGTTGAGTGTGTGTGTGTATGTGTGTGTGTGTATGTGTTGAGTGTGTGTGTGTGTTCTGTGTATGTATGTGTTGGGTGTGTGTGTGTGTGTGTGTTCTGTGTATGTATGTGTTGAGGGTGGTGATGGCAGCATTGATCTGGGCCTTAGAGAAAGGGAAGGATTTCCAGACTGGAGAAGAAAGAGAAGCCAACCTTCTATTGGGTAAGGGTATGGCCCAAGTGGCTGGTCCCCAACCTTCCTATTGCTGGGCTTGTTATAATTCCCCATAGGAATGATAGTGTTGAAGAGTGCTTGAGTGAATAATACAATAGGTCTTAGAGTCAGGCAGTCCTGGGTATAAACGCCCAACTCTGCACCTTAGCAACTGTATGTCTTTGGTGTAAACCTCTACCCCTCTGACCCTCTTGTTTCCTCATCCCCCAAAGTGGCAATAATGAAGTCTACCTCTCAGGGTCATCTTGCAGATTAAGTGAGAGTATTTGTGAAGTTTGCAGCAGGATGCTGGTGTAGTGTGACCTCAGTCTGTGGGAGGTTTGTATGAATTTAATCTTCCCAGCAGTTCTCTGAGGATTAGGCATTGTGTTCAGTTTATGGTTAGGGAGACTGAAGCTCAGAGGGGAGTGGCTAGGATCGGCTAGAGGTGCCACCTGCACTGGGACTCTAGTATTTGCCTCCAAATCTTTTGAATCATTTTATTGATGCTGGTGGCTGCTGGGGAAACTGGTGTGCACCAGCTTGGTTTTAGGGGTGGGAGTCCCTCCTTTCCCCGATGGGCCATCTCAGACTTGCTTCCCTGGACAGATTATCCCGGAGAAAGACTAGGAGCAGTCAGCTGAGCTCCCGACACCTACAAAGCAAGTCCAAGGTGGAGAAGCTGGCCACAGTTGTGGGGGAGAACGGCTCCCCTGTGCTTCAGCGGATAACCCGGGCTGCAGCAGCTGCCATGGCATCAGCTGCTGCTTCACCCACCACTGGGTCTCCTCCCACTGCACTGACCAAGGAACTCATGGTGGAGATAGGTGTCAGTGAGCACCAAAGGGCCGAGAAGCACCTCACTGAGCTCACAGCTACCTTGGCTCTGTCACGGGCTCCATCCCCAACCCCAGCTCCAGCCACAGCTCCAGCTTCCCAGGGCATACTGACAGCAAATGAGGAATCAACACCCAAGAAGTCAGAGACTGGAAGACTGGAGTCAGTCACAGTGAGCTCCCTGATGACTACCCCTAAGGACCCCAAGAGTCGAGGGACTGGGACAGGACGATCCGCCTCCAAGCTCAAGATTGCACAGGCCTCCCGGGACTCACCTGGTTCTCCAGACTCTCCATGGCGGGAGCGTGTGCTAGCCCCCATCCTGCCGGATAACTTCTCCACCCCCACGGGCTCTCATGGGGGCACTCGATCAGTAAGACGCAGCCTGATTGCTCCAGGTGCCCAAGTCTCACTGGCCCAAAAGTACTCTCTGGTGGCCAAACAGGAGGGCACCAGCCGCAGGTCAAGCAGAAGGATTGCCAAGAAGGCCACCAAAGAGCCAGCAGCCTCAGCTCGCATCATCTGTGAGTGTGGGGTGTTGGGGCAGTGGGTAGTCCTTGGTGCCTGGTTCAGCTGGAGGGGTTCTGAGGATCCATCTAGCAAGGAATTTTCCATGGACCTTTCTGTTAGGATGTAAGGGTATCATATCTGTGCTGTTCTGTGTGGTAGCTACTAGCTAGCCACGTCTGGCCGTTGAACCCTAGTTTGATTGAGGAGTTAAAGTTTTTTCTGATGGTGCTGAGGATTGAACCCAGGGCTTTGCAGATGCTAGGCAAGTGGCAAGTTCTCTCCTGCTGAGCTACATCCTCAGCCCTTGTTTTTTTGAGATAAGGTTTTGCTATGTAGCCTAAGCTGGCTTCAACCTTGCAGTCCTACTGCTTCTGCCTCCTGAGTGCTGGGATTGCAGGTGCACCACTGAGAAACTGAATTAAATTTTTTTTTTTTTTTACATTTTACTTAATTTAGATTTGAATGGTCACATGTAGCTAAGCATTGGCCATATTGGAACATAAAGATGTAGTCTGGCCTTGTTTTGTAGAGGAAACTGAGTTCTAGCAGGCTGACTCCAGTGTCCCTGTGGTTCATGGTCACATGAAGCTGGAGCCTGAGCCTTTTCCCCAGAGCCAGTGTATTCTTCCCCTTTCCCTGTCCTGCAGAGACTGACTTAAATTCACCATGCTTGCATGAAGTAGTGGAACTGTGTTTGGTCTTGAGATGTGAATTCTCATCACAGTAGGCTCATTCTGGGAGTAGGTTTCTATCTTCTGAGAGAAGGGCAAGATCAAGTTGACTCTAGAGTCTGATGGCCTGGGTTTGAGTGCAGCTTGACCGTTTACCCACCCTCTGACCTTGGGCAGGTTATGGACTCAGTTTTTCCTCTGTGAACTGGGATAATAACAGTGTCACCTCAGAGGAGCATTGTGAGCTTGTCTTTGACTAACCCACATAGGGTGTCTAGGATGGCTACTGGCATGGAAGGACCTTGTGTACTTTTATTAATGAACCACAGAGGAGAGCGGGTAGGGTTGGCTGCATGAGGGGTTGGGGATTGAGCTGGGAGGGTTTTGGAAGGTGACTGGGCTTTGACCAGGTGGAAAAAATGTTGGGAACAGGTCTCCTCACCAGAGGAGACAGCTGCTAGAAGACCTTGAGACATGAAGGAACAAGTAATGGGGGTCTTTGGGGCTCGTGTACCACACGAGGGGGGCTCAGATCTCTGGGAAGCAGTGTTGGGTACGGGGTGGGAGGAGGGGATTGCTACTGAGCGTGGGCATGAGGCCTCTGCCCTCCTGGCCTGGTGTACATCTGCTGGGGAAGGAGCTGCCCAGCAGCAATTGACAAGCAGGTGTCTCTGAGGTGGACAGGCAGGGGACAGTGGTCACTCCTGCAGGATTTCTGGAGGGTCCTGTTATATAGGCCAGGCTCCTCATTGAGACTGTTTGGTCACCTCTGTTCTAGAGAACAACCCCTTTGTCCTTCTGCTAGGAAGGACCACTTCCTTCCATCAGATGAACTCTGAGGATAGAATGGCATGCAGGGGACACTTAACATTCAAAGAAGTGCTGGGGCTGGTGACTCACACGGGCATCTTGCCCGTCTGCCCACTTGTCAGAGAGCATGGAGCTCAGTAGAGAGGCAGGAGGAGGTGAGGGGAGCCATGCCTTCTGGTTGTAGACCCCTCAAGTGGGAGCAGTCACCATCTTTAATGTCCACTTTCAATCTGAGGCTGTTGTCTCCCACAGCCTGGCTGCTGTACCCCAGAATGGAGAGGTCCCTGCCTTCTGCTTAGTTCTCTCTGCACCTTGCCACTTTGCTGTTCCAGCTCTTTGCCTTTTTTCCCTCTTTCCCTTGGGCCCTGGGTGCCACTTGGCCTCACCCTGGCTGCCTGTCAGCCTTAGCTCTGGTCTTGCTCCTCTGGTTCAGGATGTGCCAGCTGGGTTGGCCTTTTTTCCTTTTTATCCAAAAGCTTTTTTCCTGCCTTGTGGTCTTGACAGGTGTTTTCCTTCTTTCTAGACCAGTGGCTCTCAAGTTTGGTCTCAGCACTTGCTTCCAGTTTCAAAAATAGAAGGCCCCAAAAAGCTTTTGATTATGAGTTTACATCCATTAAAATTACTATTTTAGAAATTAAAAAATATTAAAAATATTTTAAATATTCTGTTCTTATAGTTAAGATCTAATACTTTAATAGTAAAGATTTAAACTATTACTTAAAAGCCAGGCACAGTGTACATACCTGTAAACCCAGGTACTTGGGAAGTAGAGGCAGGAGAATTGAGAGTTTGAGCCCAGCCTGAGCAGAAGTAGCCAGGTGACCCTATCTCAAGAATAAAATAAAAAACCCCGAAACAACTGGGAGTGTAGCTCAAGTGGTAGAGTGCTTGCCTGGCAGGTGTGAGGACCTGGGTTCAATCCTCAGTGCTGCAAACAAACAAAAAAATTGCTTAGAATCTTTTTTTTTTTGGGAAGGATGGGTGGGCTCCGGGGTTTAATTCAGGGTTTTGCACTTGCAAATCAGGTACTCTACTTTTTGAGTCACACCTCCATTCCATTTTGCGCTGGTTATTTTAGAGATAAGGTCTTGTGTACTATTTGCCCCAACTAGCCTTGAACCACGATCCTCCCAATCTCAGCCTCCCAAGTAGCTAGGATTACAGGTATGAGCCTCCAGTGCCCAGCATTACTTAGCATCTTAATATTAAAAAATTTAAATACCTGTTAACATGACATTTTTTTTTTAAATTGAAAAAAATATCCTTTCTAAAATGAAAATAAGGAGACCAGCACTGTTCTACACTTTGCAAATCTCTTTAATGTGTGTAACAGCCATAGTCTGCATTTGCTGTTCTGTATTATGCTATTTGGCTTAAAGTATCTGGAGAAAAATTGGCCTCATAACATCTGTGGAGCTGTAATAATTTTTTTCAGGTAATTGTGCAGCCCATTGGTTGTCTCACACTTTGAGTGGATCGTTAGCTGTGTGGTTTTATAACCTCATACGTTGGTCATTTGGAAGCTATGTTTTTACTGAGTTAATGCACATCTTCCAAATATCTACACACTTCACTGTATCAAAAAAGTACATTTGTTTTCTGACCTCATCAGAGATATCTTTAGGTATTGGAAAGCTGTGATGCTTCTGGTGGTAAATTACATGCTTTTCAAAATTCTACTTTTGGCTTTTTTTGGGGGAGGGTGTTTAATTTATTATTGTTAACAAATATGTTAGTTGTTTTATTTTAGGTGATGGACCCTCTTCATTTATTCTTAAGAAAATGTTTTGTCCAAATACCCAAGGTACAATAGCCATAGATTGCCAGTCACTTGTTTTTCAATTTAAAACAGTGGTTTATGAAGGCAGGTGCTGGTATAGCTAGCAACTCAAACCTGGGCACTTTTCATGGAGACTTGGGCTTGTGGCAAATGGACATTTTGCCTACTGCTCCCTTTGTCACATAGAATATTAACAAGACAGACTTTTGAGTTTATTAATGTATTTATTGCAGTATTGGGGCTTGAATTCAGGACTTACGCCTTGAGCCACTCCACCAGCCCTTTTTTGTGATGGGTTTTTTTTGAGATAGGGTCTCACGACCTATTTACCCAGGCTGGCTTTGAACTGCGATCCTCCTGATCTCTGCCCCCTGAGTAGCTAGGATTACAGGCGTGAGGCACCGGCACCTGGCTTGAGTTTAGATTTAGTATAATTAATACTTCTTCAGGAACATTCCTGAATGAAACTGGACATTGTTTTGCTGTGGATGTGCAATAGGAGGGCAGTGTTTGATGGCATAGACTTAATTGGTGCTGAGTTTTAGCATTTTTTCCTTGCCCATTGCTTTTGTGCTGCCAGGGAAAATGTTAATACAATGAAAAGGGAAAGTAATATTTCAGTATTATGGGGAAAATAGTTATGATCTCATGGATCTCCTGAAAGGGTTTTTGGGACTTCCAGAGGTCAGAGAATTTCGCTTTGAAAACCAGTGGCCTCGGCATCTTCTTCTCATTTCTTCCTCTTTGGTTTGTTCATCACAGCAGATCCTCCAGATCAGTTTGGGTATCCCCATCGTAGGCTTTCAAAATGCTTTGCTTTTTTCTGTCGTTGCATCCACGGTGTCCTTTAGGATGATTCAGTGATTGTCGGGAAGACCAGACAGTGGCTCTGTTGGTTTTGTTCGCCATTGTGTTCCTGTGTCCTGGCCCAGAGCCAAGTCCATAGTAGATACTTGAATATTTGTTGATTGAATGAATAACTGCTTCTCAAGTTGCAGCCCAGAACCATGTCAGGCATTGTCTTCCTTCTTTAGCAGGGTTGTGCCCTTAGACAGGTGGGGGTGTTTCCAGCTAGGCAGTAGTGGAAGACATAAAGCCAACAGCTCTGTTGAAGCTGCTCATGAATGCAAGGATGAGGCCCAGGGCATAGTGGGGACTGTGTGTCTTATGAAGAAAGCAGCGGTCACACCCTTGCTGGAAGCCAGTTCCTTGGACCTCTTGGCCTGGCATCTGACCAGTTTTTGATGGTACCTTTTGTTCTTTTGTTTTCCCCTCAGGTCACAGTTATCTGGAGAGGCTCCTGAATGTTGAGGTACCCCAGAAAATTGGGTGAGTTCAGATTTAAGGCTTAGGGACACTCCCGTTGTGGGCAGGGTACATGGGTATCAGGGGGTTGAGGTGAACACCAGGGGTGGAGTCATTTCCTGGGTCTGAGCCTTCCCTCCTCAGCCTGTGCTGCCCATGGCACTGCTGGCAGCCCTATCATCTTAGCCTCAACACCCTCCTCCCGTCCAACCAGGCAGTGAACAACATGGCTGTCAGGTTTCTGTGCAACATTTGTTACCATCACTTGTCAGTTCTGGCCAGGGTTGGGCTTTGGGTATGGGCTCCATTTGTCAGCAGAGCAGCTATGAGATGCTGTCTTGATTGGGATGGGGTAGGATGAGGGGCACCTGGGGCCTGGGAGTGCTTCCCACTCCAGGATTATACCCAGCACTGCTTAGAGCCAGGACACTGATTCCTTTTCCTGGAGGCCATGTCCTGCCATCACTAAAACTAGCCTACTCCTCCTTGCTTTGGGGCAGAGGCTAATGCTTGAAATGAGGAAATGGGGTAGTGGCATACCTGCTGGCTTAGCCAGCCCCAGGCTTTTCTGGGCCTAGGAGATTGAGGCAGAGCTCGGGGTAAGGCTCTGTTTTAGTCAGCTCTCCATTACTATAACAAAATACCTGAGATAAGTCAACTTAGAAGGAGAAAAGGCTTGTTTTGCCTTACAGTTTTAGAGATTTCAGTCCATGAGCAATTGGCCCTGTTCATTTGGGCTTGTGATGGTATGGAGCATCATGGCAGGCGTGTATGTGGAGCAGAGCCCTTCACCTCATAACCTGGAATAGAAAGGCAGGCAAGGCTGGGGTCCCACAATTCCCCCAAAGACTTGAAGACCTCCCACTAGACCCTACCTCTTAGGTTTCCACCACTTCCCATTACCCTGGGGGAAGAAGCCTTTACACATGGGCCTTTGGAGGTCATTTAAGATCCAATCTATAGCAAGCTCATGTCTTGAATCAGAGCTCAGGATGAAAGGAAGCAGGATTCAGAAACTGACATCCCTCCTCTGCCCAGGAAGCCACTGGTTATGGCTACTGTTCTCCCATCTGACCTGGGGGCTCTGGGTTTGTGGTCCAGGTTAGGTCATCCAACATTGACTCTATCTCGTGGAGCTGGGGAGGGCTTAAACACCAGGCAGTCCTCACAGTGCCCCTGCTCTGCTTTCAGGCCCGATCAGGAGCCCAGCAAGGAGGCTGAGCCTGTGGAGACAGCTGAACCAGAGGTAAGGTGGGCAGGCTAGGGAGGGAAGAATTGCAGGGCCTTCAGTGTTCCAGCTCTGTGCCACAGCTGTCCTGATCCCCAGGTTCCAGGTGGGGTCCTCTTCAAGCCTTGGTTCTTCTCATAGGTCTCTAAGAATGACGGGAATACTTTGCTGTCCCATAGTGCCACAACGATGGCCATTAGTACACCCAACAGGAAGCCTGTGGCCAGTGGCCAGGAAACATCCCCTGAAGGGCAGCAAGGTGAGTCTTCCTGACCTGCACACAGATTTTTGAACAAGCTTTCCTCTTCTTTATGAAGGAGTAAAGATAGTGGTCGTGCCAGCTTCACAGCTCCAGGGCTGCTGTAAGGATCCTTTGGAGTAAGGGGTGCTTTCTCTCAGTGGTGGTGAAACACTAATGAATATGCACACTGCATGGTGATCCTGTACAGAAGCTCTCCCTTCTTGCCATGGTGGCACCAGCTAAAGGCCAAGAGGGGTGGGTTTAGCAGGTATGCAAGGAGGTAGCGCTCTGGTAAGGTTTCCACACATAGCTCTCAGTGTCAGAGTTGGTGAGGCATGGGTTGGGGCTTCATTGGGTCTATCCTGCCATTCTTGCCAAAGATGTCAGGACTGGGGCAAGGGCTCTGACCTAGGGATGGTGTTCTGGGCCCTGGACAAACCTATATTCCTCAAGGCCAGTTGGTGCTAGGGCTGATACTTCTGCCACGGGTTGCCCTGGAATTGCCAGGAAGGGAGCCTTGCCCCTTCTGTGGCTGCTGCTGCCGCCGGTGGGCGCCTTCCCTGACTTTTCCATGCATACCCCACCACAGTCATTCCTACAGCCTCACTGAAATTGTTCTCTTCATAGAGGCCAAGACTGACCAAGCATATGGACACAGAGAGCCACCCCAGAGCATCAGGTTTGCATCTGGGAAGGGGCAAGCAGGCAATTCTGGTCTGAGAGCCCCAGAAGGGCATGGAATGAGGGTCTTTGCACAAAGAGGGTGGATATGTGGTCAGGGGCTCTGTTCCTTCTTGTCTGGGGCCATTGCCTGGTGCTCTTGACTTAACAAAGGAGGTGGCTTGATATGCTACAGATGAGCACTGGCTTGGGAACTGGGTGATTTGATGATAGACCCTGGCCCTGTGCATCCTCCTGGCTGTATGGCCTTTGACTAGTTGGCTCCTTTCCTCTGAGTGGTTAGCACAGGCCTGATCAGGGAGACCCTATCTCTGTGGTCCCTTCTGGCCTAGAGTCCTGTGGCCTGGGCCAAGGTTTGTTTGCAGGGTGAGCTTTTATATGTGTGCTGGGCCTGGGGAGGGTTCCTGGAGCCCAGGTCTGCCTTGTGACACTGCCTCCTGTCTCTGGCAGGAGGAAACGTAGCTACAAGCAGGCAGTGAGTGAGCTGGATGAGGAGCAGCCTCTGGAGGAGGATGAGGAGCTGCAGCCCCCCAGGAACAAGACTCCTTCTCCACCCTGCCCTGCCAGCAAGGTAAGGAGGCTCCTGTCCTTGCCCTGCACCCTGTCCTGCCTGCCCAGAGGTGATCCCTGTTCTTGTCGGCAGGTGGTGCGGCCCCTCAGGACCTTCCTGCACACAGTGCAGAGGAACCAGATGCTCATGACTCCCACGCTTATGACCCCTACCTCAGCCTCCCGCAGTAGCGTCATGAAGTCCTTCATTAAGCGCAACACCCCCCTGCGCGTGGACCCAAAGGTGAGGGATCCTGTCCCCTAGCTGGGCTTTGCTGGCACTGGGGTGGCATGGTTGAAGGTTATGGTCTGTTTCTTAGGCTTCTGAGAGTAGGGTGGATCTGGGCAGAAGAAGGCCTGGCCTGCCCTGGCACTGGACACGGACTGGCTCAATCCTCTGGCCATGGGCTGCCTTGACCCTGGGGTTACTCTCCTGACCTTATGGGCCCTGACTGACACCCAGAGGCTCAGCCAGCTTAGTGAGCCCTGGGCTGGGAAGTGGCAGTATTGGCCTAGCCACCTGCACTCCCTGCCATTCCCACATGCTCCATAGTGTGAGTAACCCAGGGAAGGAGCACGTGAAGATGCCTTCACTCTTGTGGGGGAGTGAGGGTTAGGTGAGGTGAGCAGTGGTGGTGCTCCTGGTGAGAAGTGCAGCCCCTGAGCAGACCTGCTGCCACAGTTGGGCACATGGCCTGCTCTGTAGGATGTTCTCTGGCCTGACATTAACTCTTGGCTTTTTCCTGTTTCCTCTCTTCCACAGTGCAGCTTTGTCGTAAGTAAAGCCTTTTCCCTTCCTGTAACCGAGCTGTACTTAGCACTTATCCACTGTAGCCCCATCTCTGCTTAGCTGACAGTGCCTGTAGAATCACTAACATCACAAGTGGAAGCATTAGGGAGAGATGGGGATGTGGAAGCACTAGAGGTGGCTGACTCATTTGTTTCCTCCCTCTGTAGAGCCTGCCCTTTTTGCTCCTGACACTGCTCTGGGCAGGACAGAAGTTGGGTGTGACCTCTAGTTGCTCACCAGGGCCACAGTTTGAAGAGCTCCCCATGGGGCTCCTTCCCCTGTCCCCAGCATGGGGGCCTGTGGGTCTGTGAAGAGAACAGATAGGTGGTCTCTGGTCCTCAGAGCCACTAATGTAGACCTGAGCTGAGCAGTAGCCTTGATGGGGAGTGAGGGGGAGAGAGGTCTGGCCAACAGTGGCACCTGGAAAAAGACTACAAAATCTGTTCTCTTCTCAGATACGTCAGAGCTGAGCTGATCCAGGCCACTGGCCAAGAGCAAGAGCCTCGGGGAACTGGGACATGCTCAGCCCACAGCCCTGGCTCCGAGCCTGTCACTAAGCTACAGTCCGTTCCTTTTCGTTCGCATAGGCGTTCTGAATGGCCATTCACTGGCAATCCCAAAAGCTTCTGTCTCCAACTGAGGGCCTTGGTGGGTAGGAGGGAGGGTGTTGCCAGCTGCTGGCCAGGTGGGTCAGAGCTGGCCTGTTCTGCATGGAGGCCTGTCCTCTGGTTGGACAAAGTGAAAACATGCCTTCCAATATGGTAGCTAGTGGGCTGGGTGGCCTTTTGCACCTATTTTTGCACTAGGCTAGGCATCTGGGCCCACCAACAGTGGGAAAACCACTTGTCCCCTTCAAAGAGGCCACACATGTCCTTTCCTCTTCCAGACTGATTGGAAACTTGGAGGTCTCTGGGCATGACTAGGCCCAGGAGGTTGCCCTTGCCTGCTTTGGGGAACCCAGGTCCCTGCACAGGTTATCTAGTGGGTGTAGCCAGTCCTTAGCTGGGAGACCAGGGGCCTAGGAAGGTCGCAGGATCCTGGGGCCTTGGACACATTTTCTAACCTTGGGCCTAAGTTTCCTTGGCCACAAAATGAAGAGAGATTTGGTGGCCCAGAGAGCGATTATGTCAGGCACTGAGCCTGAGGTTTGGTATAAAGTGGTCATTGGGTACATGGCAGAGAGACTGCTTAGGTGAGGCCTCTGGAGGCAGAAGGGCTGCTTCAGCTTGTGGCTTCCTGAGGTACTGATAATTTTTGTTCAATTTGGGTGATTTTTATTGATTTATCTCTAGGTTTACTCTCTTTGTCTTGTCTTTTCCATTCTGCTGTTGAGCTATCAATTGAGTTTTAAAATTTCAGTCACTGTACTTTTAGTTCTAAAATTTCCATTTGTTTCTTTTTATCTTCTTTTCCTTTGCTGAGATTTTTTTTTCTGTTTTTCTACTTGTCTCAGAAATTCATGATTACTTCTTAGAGCATTTTTGTAATAACTACTCTAAAGTCTTTTTGAGATAATTCTGACACGCATGCCTCCTTGACATTGGCATCTGTTGATTGTGTTTTCCCATGCAAGTTGAGATTTTCTTGATTCTTTGCATGCTGAGTGATTTTGGATTGTATCCTTGACATTTCTTAATACTGTGCATGGAGACTGTGGGTCTTGTTTAAATCTTAAGGAAAATGTTGATATTTTTACCAGCATTGCAATTGGGCAGAAACTGACCTGGCTAGCTTCACTCTGCAGGTTCCTATCTGCTTTCTATGGTTCTGATGTTAGCTCAGAGTTCACAGCCTTTGCAGGGCTATATGATCTGTCTGGGGTGTGTGCCAGTTAGCAGTCAGTCTGGAGCCAGAAGGTGGTCTGTTTGTTTAGTTCTCAAAGACGTTGGTGTGATAATTAGGGTCGGATCCTTACAACTGCAGCTTGAAGTTGTAAAAAGGATACCTGTGGTATCCTTTTCCTGATCTCTCTAGTACTTTCTGGTTCTCTGGGGCTCTCCTAGGGAGCTGGGACTTTAGTTAACCTGCTCTTCTGTGTGCTTCCATCGCTGTGTCTAGGGCTACCTGACAGGAGGACCAAGAAAAAAAAGAGCAACAAACAGGCCTGTGCCCAAAATTTCTGGAGCATAGTTCCATAATTTGGAGAGGAAGGTTGTCCCACTTCAGAGTTTGACACTGCAGATTTCTGTAACTTCTGCTGCCCCTGGTTACTGGGAGGGAAAGGAGAGAAGAGGAAAACTAGCAAATGGGGTTTGTGCACTTGCTGAGTATTAGGCTTTCCATTCTTTAAGTCAGCTATAGGCTTTGCACACAGTTCTCTCGGCGTACACAGGTGAGCTCTTTGGGGTTTCAGACTGTATAGAGTTTGGGTTGGAGGAAAAAGATGATGAACTCACTGCTAGTACTTCAAAGTCTGCCTGCCTTATCTGCCTGCTACTGTTGGCTTTTCAGAGACTCCTTGCATCTGTCCACGTTTCATAGCTGCATTCAAAGGGAGGGATAGATGGAGTGCATCTGCTCTGTCTCACCCTTAATTAGAACGCTTTTTTCTCTTCAGGAGGATCATGCTACCTCGGGGCCAGATTTCTGGGTGGGAATGCTCCGTTGGTCAGTGCCAGGGGACAGGGAGAAATCAACAGTAACCAGTTCAGGGAAAGGGGCTGGCTATTGGAGGCTGAACTCAGAGGTAGGAGTCTGGTGGGAGCCCGGTTGGGATGGTGGATGTGGGGGCTCCAATGTGGGTCTCAGCCTCCACTCCTAGCCCTGGACTGTTCAGAGAGAAAGAACCAATGTCATTCTTGGCCAGGGAAGGCTTGGAGCTCCTGCTCGTCCCTGTTGGCTGCCCACTGCTATGGCCATGTCCTCTCCTGGGGCTTTCTGGGTGTGCCTAGGAGGAGATGCCAGCATCAATCTACTGTGCAACCAGCTAGCACTTTAAAAAGTGTTTCAGAGATTATTGACTTAGCTCTATCACGGAAAGTTTGAAAAATAGAAAAAAGAAATGCCATCCTTAACTTGTCTCACTAGTCTGTAGTAACCTTTCTTAGCATTTGTCAATACTTTATTTTTTTCAACTATTATGAAATACTTGATGTACACAAAAATACTTGGCATATGTACACACATGTAGCATGATGGTACTAAACGAATGCTAACCCCTGAAACAGAACATTAGCTATAACTTTCCAGCTTCCTTTTGTCCTGTCTCAGTCTCAGTCTTCATTCTCTTTTTCAAGTGCACTGTTTATAATGTTAAAGCACACACATTCAATTTTGAGCTTGATTTTGTGTTGCCTACAACTTTGTAGAACCCAGTTGAATGCATTTAGAACTCTGGCTGTTGGGAAGCATTTGGGTCCTCCTGAGAGGAGAGACTGGCCTGAGTGGGCATGGAAGGCACGCTGGGGCATCCCTGTGTTTAAGAAGCATTCTGGTGCTGCTGCTCACCTTGTTGAGAGCTGATACACACAGCTGGCAGCCTTTGGGGTCGGGGTGTGTCCTGCTCATGTTCCAGGCCCTCCTCCCTCCCCAGGAGAAGGAACGGCAGCGCTTGGAGAACCTGCGGCGGAAGGAGGAGGCAGAGCAGTTGCGGAGGCAGAAGGTGGAGGAGGACAAGCGGCGGCGGCTGGAGGAGGTGAAACTGTAAGTGGCCCTGCTCTGGCCCATCTGCCCCGGCCCTGGCAGGCCTCTGCATGACTGCCCTGTGCTCACAGGAAGCGGGAAGAGCGCCTCCGCAAGGTACTGCAGGCCCGTGAGCGGGTGGAACAGCTGAAGGAGGAGAAGAAGAAGCAGATTGAGCAGAAATTTGCTCAGCTTGATGAGAAGACTGAGAAGGTTTGAGCCTGGGCTGGTGGGTGGCCAAGTTGCAGGTGGGCGGTGGCCTGGTAGCGTCCATGCACTTCAGACTTGGCCTGAAGGATAGGGCTGGACCCCTCCAGAAGCTGTGGATTTGACCATTTACCCCGCTGCTGTCTGTCCCATGGGCCCTGTAGTCTGTTCCAAACCAAGCTGAGGGTTGAGGCTATGCCTTCTGTGTTTCTCCAGCAGCCCTTTATGAGCGGTGGTCATGGGCAGGAATGGCTTCCAGTGCCCTTTCCCAGTGGGCAGCAAGCAGGATGTGTAGGGGTGTCGGGGTGCCTATCATACAGGGCTCTGGGCCCCACTCTGGAGGCCTGAGTGATGGGCAGCTCCATTGGGCACATGTGGGTGGGTTCTGCAGGCCAAGGAGGAGCGATTGGCAGAGGAGAAGGCCAGGAAAAAGGCAGCGGCCAAGAAGATGGAGGAGATGGAGGCCCGCAGGAAGCAGGAGGAGGAGGCGCGCAGGCTCAGGTGGCTCCAACAGGTATGAGTGCAAGCGGCTGTCAGGGAAGAGGTGCATAGGATGGTCACTGCTTCATTACCTTGAGCACCTGCTGGGCACAACACTTTGTGCAGTTGATACTGGTGGATCTTACTGCTTTAAGCCCAGGAGGAGGTTCAACAAATGCCTTAGGGCCATTGGGGTGGTGACTGTAACCTGCTTCCTATCTTCTGTAGAAGTGGCCATTTGAGGGTTAAGTGCATGCATATGGCGCCAGACTTCCCCTCTCAGCTCTGCCATTTATTAGCTGTGTGACCTTGGTCAGGTTACTTGACCTCTCCATGCTTCCATTATTTCAAGTACCAGTGGTGTCTTCCTGATTGGGTTATCGTAAATACGTTGGTGCATGTAAAGCAGTTGAGTAGTGGTGTCTGACATGCTAAATGTTGCATCTGGAAGAGTAGAGACCTGCCTCTCCCTGGAAACTGTAGGTCTTACCACTCTTAAGAAATGAAACTCTGTAACTAGGGAGTTTGATATTATTTAGTAAGAATTGTTTTCTCTGTGATAGGCACTGCCCTAAGGGTGTAATGTGAGTTAACTCAACACCTCCATGAGGCAAATCCCTTTTTTACAGATGAGGAAACTGTGGCCAGGGAAGTTAGTCCTTAGTCCTCTGACCAGTTTCTCCCGGTCCCTACTGGTCCAGGCCTGACCTGAGTGCCCTGACACTGCCTGTATTCCCATCTCAGGAGGAGGAGGAGCGGCGCCACCAAGAGCTGCTGCAGAAGAAGAAGGAGGAGGAGCAGGAGCGGCTACGCAAGGTGGCTGAGGCCAGGCGACTGGCGGAGCAGCGTGAGCAGGAGCGGCTGCAGGCGGAGAGGCGGCGTGAGCAGGAACGGCTCCAGGCCGAGAGGTGAGGCAGCACTGGCCAGGCAACCTGGTCCTCCTGTGCGGGGGATGAGGGGCAGGGTAGCCGTCACTTCTTTACAGCTCCCAACTTTACTTTGGGGTAGGCAAGTATTTTTCCTTGTCTTCAAAGCCAGATGCCTACAGCTGGTGGGCCATTGAGTAGGGGACACGTTGGCTTTGGGAGGTTCGAGGACTAACAGACAGGTCAGTCTGATTTTGTTCTGCCTTCAGCCAATTGTGCTGTTGTCCTTTCTTCAACTGACCCAGTAGGGTAGGGGGAATTTTAGAATGAGTTTGTACTTTGTAACAGGGCTGCCATGGGCATCTTTAGTAAAGGGATCTTTGCTACAATGTAGTGCTTTGGGTACCTTGGTTCCCAGTCCCAGTCCTTTGGTTATATTGATAACTCAAGTCCCCTTTGGGAATCATGGGTTCCAGCTCAGTTCTTCCAGCTCTGCAAATGCAGTGGTCTCTGTGCAATAGATAAGAATCTCAGGTTTACTTTTACAAGCGTTTATCCAGGGCCCACCCTATGGCTGTTTGTACTGAGTCCTGGGGATGCAAGGTGGATAAGCCACACTCACTGTGGGCCAGGAAATCTATGAAGACTGTGCTCCTCATGTCTCTAGCCCAATAGACACACAGGCCCAACAGCTATGTTCTCTCCAGCCCCTACCGCCATCTTTTTGGTTGGTATAGGCTTAATGGAGAACTGAGGGCCAAGAAGACTGTCAGGGCTGTCTTCCTGTGCTGATTGGTGTCCCTGGTCCTGTGGGCAGAGTAGGAGATAGGAGCCTGCGAAGAGGGCATATAGGAGGTGACAACTAATGTTTCAGAATTGTGTGGCACAGGGTAGTATTGGGGACTGTGAAGGGCAATGGGGATAGTCATAATGGCAGGTAGCCATGGTGGGTGGGTGCTAAGCTACATGCTTTACACATTGCCTTGTTTAATAGTTCTTGAAGCTCACTGGCATAGGAAATATCAGCGCCACCTTACAGAGTGGGAAACCTGTTCAGAGAGGTTAAATAACTTACTCAAGGTCACGAGGTAATGAGTGTGGAGGTGACTCCAAAGCTCTTAAACAGCTCTTGTCCTGCTCCAAGGGTGGAGATGGGTGTTCACCCTATGGGTTGGGATGATTAGAAGTAGCACAGATTGTCTTATTTGATTCTTGTGACAACAATGGAGGAAAGGTGTTATAGTCTGCATTGCAAAGAAGAGTGAGGCCCAGAGCCCTAGCTTTTGTGGAAGACTGGGTTCCTTTTTTTTGGAGTGTTGGAGTTTGAACTCAGGGCCTACACCTTTAGCCACTCCACCAGCCCTTTTTTGGGATGGGCTTTTTTGAGATAGGGTCTCATAAACTATTTTGCCGGGTCTGGCTTTGAACTGAGATCCTTCTGATCTCTGCTTCCTGGGTAGCTGGGATTATAGGTATGGGCCAGGCTGAAAGTTGGGCTCTGATTCCACTTACCCTCAGGAGTGCATACGCCCAGCTTTTGGGGCAAAGTGCAACTGTTGCTCTAAGCCAGTGACCCACTGTCATCCCATTCTCTAAAGCGTGCCCACCAGGCCTAGCAGCCTGGTGTCAGGGCCGGACTCTGCCTCCACCCTGACAGGTTCTTGCTTGTTCCTCAGGGAGAGGGAGAAAGCCCTGCAGCTACAGAAAGAGCGACTACAGAAGGAACTGGAGGAGAAAAAAAAGGTAGGTAGCTGTGGGGGTGTGAGCTGGGAGAGTTGGGAGTCTGGACTAGGCTCTGAGGCAGGGACTATCTGGCCTGCCTTTCTATGTGGGTGACAGTGTGACAAGGGAGGGGGAGGCACACACATAACACCCACTACCCTGGGTCCCAGGAAGAGCAGCAGCATCTGGCCGAGCAGCAACTACAGGAGGAACAGAAGAAAACCAAGGAGGCAGGGGACAGCAAGGGCCTGAATGTGACTGTGGATGTGCAGGTGAGGCCTGTGCCCTCAGGCGGAGGGACCCCCAGCTTGGCTAGGGCTCCACTTTGATCTCTGCCCAGTAGCTGCAGGCATAGGCTGTGTATTTTAGGTCCTTAAGAAAGAGGATGGTTTATCTGCCTCATTTTTACTTTTTTGGAGTATGTGACAGGGTCTTGATGTGTAGCCCAGGCTGGTCTGTAATTCACTGTGTAGCCCAGGCTTTCCTCCAACTTGTGATCCTCCTGCCTCTGAATGCTGGTATTACAGGTGTGTGCCACCACACCGGGGCTTCTCTTTATTTTTGGTATGCATATTCTTACATATTGTACAGATAGAATTTGTTGTTTTTTTTTTTTTTAAAAAGAAGGAACTGAACTTTTTTTTTTTCTTTTTTATAAGAGTATAGAGTTAAGAAGAAGGATCCCTCATAGGAAAACCATTAAGCTCAGTGAATGTCCTTCTAGATTTTTACATATATAGCCATTTTATATACACAAACACATACACTCATTACATATACACATGCATATTTTTAAGTGAGCGTAGACTGTATATACTTTATTATTACTTTCTTCATTTAGTATATTGTAGACATCTGTTTCAACACATCTGAATCTTTTGTTTTTGATTGTACTGGAATTTAACTGTCTCCTGTTAGTGAGCATTTAAGCTATTTTTCAGTTCAGTGTTAATACCAAACACAATTTATTATGAGGAGAGGTTTTTACTGCAGCACAGTTGTTGAAAACTGGAAGTTAGCTAAATGGCCATCTTTGGTAGAGGGTTAAGTTGCAGATCATGGGGTCTCCTGGAGCTGTTCCAAGGAGGTGGTAGGCTTCCCTGGAAGAAAATTTGCATTAAAAAAAGCAGACAGAAATGAGGGGTGGTGATCAGAACAAAAGTGCCCCCTAGTGGTGAGATTCAGGGATGCAGGGGCAGGAAGTTGCTAGCCATGCTGATTTTCTTTTTTCCCCAGTCTCCTGCTTGTACCTCATATCAAATGACTCCACAAGGGCACAGAGCCCACCCAAAGATCAACCCAGATAACTATGGGATGGACCTGAATAGTGATGACTCCACTGATGACGAGGCTCATCCCCGGAAGCCCATTCCTGCCTGGGCCAGAGGTAAGCAGGGCCCAGAGCTCTCCAGGAGACGTGGGTCCTCTCCTGACCTCACCTCTTGGGGCCTGGAAGTGGTAAGCTGTATGTTATAGGTGTCCAGCTATTGTGCTGGGGTCTGGTGGCTTGAGGCATTTGTCTGACAAATGCTCCTGGGGCCTTTGGCGTGCTCCCTGGGGAGGGTGGTATGCTTTGTGGCGTGCGGGTTTATCCGAAGACCAGACCTGGGATGTTGCGTTCCTTTGTTTTCAGTGAATACAACTGTACCTGGCCTCAGCAAACATGCTGCTGAGTGCTTGATGTGTACTCTAGACCTCTTTAGAATCCTACCTAGCGGGACAGAAGAGACACCCACATAAGAGACCTGGGGTGAGAGTAGAGTCAAGAGTGGTAGCAGTGTTTAGGTGAAGTGCTAAGAGCAGGGCCTGGGCTTCCAGTCCATGGAGGAAGGCAAGAAAGGCCCTGAGGAGAGGTGTGAAGCACTTGAGCAGGATTTGACCTGGAATTTCCAGGCCTCAGCATTTACATAGGAGTATAGGTGAGCATGGCTGCTGCCCCAGGGCTAGGTGCAAGACCTGCAGGAGAGGAGCAGGGGCTGCTGTGTATGGTAGATATTTTGCAGGGTTTGCTAAGCTGGGAGTCAGGACAGGGCCCAAACCCCAGTGGGAAAGGTCTGGGATCCCATAGGGACTAGCATTCTACAGAAGACAACTTGCTTTTGTTAGTTTCACCTCATTTGAACCCCACAATAACTGAAACCTTAGTCTCCTTAGTTACTAGCGTCAAGTCACTTGAGAGGTGATGAGCAGGTGCTCGTGGTACCAGCAAAGCCATCTAATGGTGGTTGACCTTGGATAGCTTTCTTAGTTTCCTCCTCTGTGAAGGGGGTGGTGTGGTAACAAACCCAGCTGAGAAGGTTTATTGAGAGTGAAGTGAGTTGGGAGCAGTTCCTAGTGTTGAGCAGGCATTGGGTGTGTGCTGCCACCTCCTGGGTGGCAGGGTTGTGCTCCTTCATGGCCTCAGCTCAGCCTGGGTTGGCAGGGTTGTGCTCCTTCATGGCCTCAGCTCAGAGGCCCCTCTCAGCCTGCGCCCTGCACTACTTAGCCTGCAGGGTTGGTGAGAGTAGTGGCCGAGGAAGTTGGATAGCATCGTGTGCTTCAGTTCTGGAGCCAAGCTTGTCTTTACACACCTGCTCTGCCACTTATCTGCTGGGTGCCTTGCAGCAAGTCTCCTCATTTACAAAATGGGGAGACTACTACCCAGCCAAGATCTCAGGCAGCTCAGTGTTCAGGCAAGTGCCTGGCTCACAGGAGCGCTTGGGGAGCTTTGTTTGGGTTCAGCGGCCAGAGGATGCCAGTGAGACCATGTTGGGTGGTAGCGTGGGCAGGAGGAAGTCTCTGCAAGAGAGGTTGGGGCAGGGCGGGGCATTTTGGAGTGGAGAGAATGACAGAGCTCTGTGGGTAGGGCAAGGAAAGAGGGAGGCACATGGAATGCCCAAGGCAGTGACCCAGGCCTTTGTGTTCCTCTCAGGCACTCAGCTCAGCCAGGCCATTGTCCACCAGTACTACCATCCTCCGAACCTTCCCAAGCTCTTTGGAACTATTCTCCCATTGGACTTGGAGGACATCTTCAAGAAGAGCAAGCCCCGCTACCATAAGCGCACCAGCTCTGCTGTTTGGAACTCACCACCCCTTCAGGGTGCCAGGGTCCCTGGCAGCCTGGCCTATAGCCTGAAGAAATACTGAGGCATGCATTCAACCCTCCTGGCAGTCTCAGGGCCCATCTGTGTTTGTCTGTCTATCTCTGTGTTGGACTGGCACCCTCTCACCTGCCGTGCCATTGCTGAGCGCTTGGTCATGTGGATAGCAATGTCCTCTGGTTGCCTGGTGTTTGTGCTGTTGATGGAAGTTGGCGCCAGGCCAGGTCTGTTTGGAGGATGGGCATTGGGAATGGTTGGAGAGCCAGGCCCAGCCCCAACTGGCTTGCAGACAGCACTGTAAATAGGTCGTTATAATTCTGCTGAATTTTAGTTTTTAGTGTGTGAGATAGATTAATAAAGTATATTCCTTGAAGCTTGCTGTGAATATTATGAAGACTTGGAGGCTTCAGCATAATGCCCTGGATCCTGGTCCTGAAGCCGTATGTCTTGGGCCTCTGGATGGGTTGGAGGACCAAGGCCCTGTTCCTTTACCTTCAGTGGGCCTCAAGATTGTCTGGTGCGGGTTCCACCAGAGGTGCTGGTGTAGCATGTGATTCTGATGCTGGACAACCCCTGGGAAACACTTCAGTATCTCTAGCAGTGTGCAGGTGAAAATGCTTCCTGTTTTGGGTTGTTGCTACCTGTTTGCAAAGGTAGTTTATTCCTTGGGCAAGGCCTGGGCTTTTCCTGAGGCTGCACTCCTGCGTGGGAGGTGAAAGGACTTGGGAAAGCCTTTGCTGCTGAGGCTTGGATCCAATTAGAAAAGGAATGGCTCTTGAAACCACTTGGGACCAGTGCTTGCAAGAAATAAGAGATTTCCACCCCTCCCCACCAAAAAAAGCCAAACAAACCCAGGCAGTTGCTTAGTAAAATGCTTAGCACCAGTGAAGGCTGGCACTGGCCCTGGCCCTGCCTGTTAGCTATGCATTGCTTTAGTCCCTGGAGTAAGGGTTGGCAAACTAGTCTGTGGGTAAAATCAAGCCGCAGTCAATTTTTTATTTTGATTGAAATTCACCTAGTAAAAAGGACTATTTTGTTACTCATTGTCCCCACTGCTCTGTAGACAGCATTAAATTACACAGCAGAGGTCTCATGGCCTAAAAAGCTGAAAATGTTTACTATCTAAACCCGAACAGAAAATGTTTGCCAACTCCTGCTTTAGGACACAGTAATGGCTAAATAGAAGAGTGCTTTAAAAAGTGAGGAAATAGGGACCACACACAATGGACTAAAGTCTGGACGATTCTGCCCATGCAAAGAAAAAACAGTTTATGTACCATTCAGATAAGGTGCATGATTTAAATTCGTTCCACATGTTCTTTGGCAACTTGGGTAAACCAGAGAGCAGGTCTCCGTCTAAAACCATAATGTCAAAATACTACTTCTGGTAAGTACATTTATGTAGTGTTCTTAGGAAAAACTTGTTAAGCAGAAAGGCACTTCTTTGCTTTATGTCTTCAGCAGCATTTGGTATTGTCATGATTTCTTATTTTAGCCGTTCTAATAGGTGTCTAATGTCTCATGGTTTTATTTGCATTTCCCTAGTGGCTGATGATGAATGGCTTTTCATATGCTTTTATGCCATCCCTGTCTTTTCTGGTGGAGTCTTTTGTTCACCTCTAAATTTGGGTTATTTTCTTACTGTTGAGTTTAAGAATCTTTATATATTATGAGTACAAATCTGTTGTTAGATGCTTTGTGTTATTTTCTCCTAGCCCATCTTTCCATCCAGCTAACAGTTTCTTTCACAGAGCAGAAATATAATTTGGCAAAGTCCAATTTATTATTTTTTGGGTTATGCTTTTTTGGTGTTGGGTCTAAGAAATCTTTGCCTAGCCCCAGGTCTCAAAGGTTTTCTTCTGGATGTTTCATTATTTTACATGTTGCATTTAGATTATGATCGTTTTGAGTTAACTTTTTTTTTTTTTTGAATTAACTTTTTAAAAGGAGTGAGGTTTACATTTTTTGTTTGTATTTGAGGGCAAATGGATGGATGTCCACTCGTTCCAGCACCATTTGTTAAACAGACTGTCCTTTTCTCTATTGAATTTCTCTTGCATCTTTGTCAAGAATCAATTAGCCAAAGGGCTAAGCTGAGCTAAGTTCAAACCCCAATAACTGAAAAAAACAAAATCAATTAGCCATATCGATAGGGGACTGTTTCTGAAGTTCTTTCTCTCTTCCATTATTCTGTATCTTTTGCCAGTACTACACCGTCAGGATTATTGATACCTTGTAATAAGTCAAAATCTGGTGGCAATTCCTCCAGTTTTATTTTTCCTTTTCACAGTTATTTTGGCTACTCTACTAGTTTTACCTTTCCATATAAATTTTAGAATCAGCTTATTTATACAAAAGTCCCTCTTGGATTTTGGCTAGAATTGCATTAACTCCATAGGTAAGTTTGCGGAGGGATATGTGGAAGGGAGGGAGAGTCTCATACTTAATGTACTATCCACAAACATGCTATGTCTTTTTATTTGCATCTTTGGTTTGTTTCATCAACATTTTGTAGTTTCAGCAAACATGTACATGTTTTGTTAAATATTTATTTTCTTGGAGCTTCTGTAAATGGTATTCTGATTTTGGTTTGTACTTTTTCACTGCTGGTATATAGAAATACAGTTAATTTTTGTGTGTTGATCTTGTGTCTCATGATACAACTAAAGGAATACTCAGGGAAGTGTATAACACTAAGTGCTTATGTTAGGGGAAAAGTCCTTATCAGCGACCTCAGGTTCTTCTTTAAGAAATTAGAAAAAGAAGAGCAAATTAGAATGTATGGAGACGAGAAATAGTAATGGTAGATAAAAAACCAGTGACACTGGAAAGAGAAAAATAGTGAAGAAAATAAAAAGCTGTTTTTTTGAGATGTTTAAGAAACTCCATAAATCTCTTGCCTAGATTGATCAGGAGAGAGCTAAGATACTGATTACCACTGTCAGAAGAGAGCTGGCTTCCCTACAGATTTCACAGACAGTAAAATAATAATAGAAGCAGGGTATGGTGTAACACAGCTATAATCTCAGCACTTGGGAGACCAAGGCTGGAGGATCTGGAGCTTGAGTAGCCTGGGCTATATAGTGAGTTCTAGGCCAGCCTGGACTACATGTTGAGACACTGTCTCCAACAAAACAACAACAAAAAATGGCAGCAAGAATCCAAAACAAAACAAGAGACCGTGTGAGCGAATTATGGCAACATAAATGAAATTGGAAGGAAAACCTAAATAGTCCTCTTGATGAAAGAAACTGAATTTTTAGTTAATCAAACAAAACTGTAGGTGTAGCTAGCTTTAGTGTAAACATTGCCACATTTTTAAGAAAGAAATAGTGCCAATTCTATACACCCTCTTCAAGAACACCTGAGGAAAGAATGCTTCTATTCCTTACATGAGACCATCATTGCCTGGACCCCAAACCAGACAAAGACATTTCCAGAAAAGTAGTCTGTTATCATTCATATATATAGATACCTATATATGTCTATATCTATCTATCCATATATATCTATATATGATAGCAAAATAAGAGGATTTGGGTGCGGGAATAAGGTCTCCCTATGTAGTCCAACCTCTCACTCAAGAATTTCTCACCTCAGCATTGTGAGTGCTGGGATTATAGGTATGTACCACCATGCCCATCAACACAAAAATTTTTAAAGCTTTAGCAAATCTAATCCTAAAAATGTCCTTCTATAAACAGGATAATAGAACCAGTGGGATTTATCTCAGGAATGCATGATGGGTTTAATACTCAAAAGTATAGTTATCACCATGGGAGGAAAATCATGACTGAATTTATAGATGCAGAAACAGCAATCTAGTAATTCTAGTAATACTAGTAATTCATGTTGGAAATCTTAAGTATATTTGAACTTAAAGGGAACTTTCTTACTTTGATGAAGCTACTTCAAAAAAAAAAAAAAGCCTCTAGCAGACATCATACTTTACAGTGAGTGGGATGCATTCTGCCAATTTCAGCACAAGGATGGCCATTCTTCTAAATAACTGAAGGTTGTACCAGTACAGTCGGGCAAAAAAAGAATAAAAAAATGTCTTAGAAAGGAAGAATTAAAATTCTTTAGGGGTTGGGGGTAGCTCAGTGGTAGTTGCATGCTCAGCCTGCATAAGGGCCTGGGTTCCACTCCCAGCCCCAATAAAATAAAAACCTGAGATGACTTGTAGAAAATCTAGTGGTATCTCCCCCAAAGCTATTAGAACGAACTAGTCAGTTTAGTATGATTGATGGCAGGAAAAAAGGCATGCAAAAATCTTATCATATTTCTGTCAGCTGTATAATCAAATTAGAGTACTATTTGAATTATCAACATTTTCAGAATAAATTAGACAAAAGATCTGAGAAATCAGGTACAGTGAAAATTAGAACATTGCTGAAAGAAATTAGTGAAGAGCACTGGGATTCACATACTATATTCACGGGTTGGCAACTCTAGATTCTTAAAATGTCAGTCCACAGTCAGATGATTTAACTCACTCCTAAACAAGTCCAATAGACTTTTGTGGGGAGAGGGTAGAGGTTTATGAAAATATGACTTCATTATTTGGCAGTACTGGGGTTTGAACTCAGGGTTTCATGCTTGCTAGGCAGGTGCTCTACCACTTGAGCTACTCCACCAGCCTGAAGATCTGGTTTTAAAATTTATATTTAACTGCAAAGGGCCTACAATAAACAAAATAACTTTGAAAAGACTTTGGCAGAGGTCATACTACATGACTTAATATTTAATGAAAAATCCAGAAATCAGGATGGTATGGTATTGGCGTAGAGGTAGCCATAGGTCTATGGAATTTTATACAGTCCAGAAGTGGAGCCATTTTTATTTGACCCCTCCACACCCTTTTTTTTTGGTTGTGCTGGAGTTTGAACTCAGGGCCTCATTCTTGTTAGGCAGACACTCTACCACCTGAGCCACTGCCAGGCCTTTTTGCTTTGGTTATTTTTGAGACGGGTCTTGCTTTATGCTTGGGTCAGCACCACCCAGGCATTGGTTGAGGTGGGGGTCTCAGACTTTTTTTGCCTGGGCTGGCTTTGAACTGCGATCCTGATCACCACCTCCTGAGAGAATAGGATTACAGACCTGGCCTGATCACTTTTTTTTTTAAATTTAACAAAAATAGAAAGGCAGTTTGGTATGGGATGCATACATCTTCAACATACTGTCTGGAAAAACTAGATGTATTAAAAAAAATTCCAACCATTCCATGCTATATATCAGATTTAAATCATAGTGAATAATAGGCCTAAATGTAGCAGTTAAAAAGCTAAAAATATAAAAGTCCTAGAAAAAGGACCAATACCTTAAGTGTCTGTGTTTGGCAGAGATTTACATATGAAACTATTTTTTTTTGGTAGCACTGGGGTTTGAACTCAGGGTCTCACATTTGCTAGGCAGGTACTCTACCACTTGAGACATCCTAGTCCTTTTTGCTTTGGTTATTTTTGAGATGGGGTTTCACTTTTTATGCTGTGCTAGCCTTGGCCACAATCCTATTTTTGCTTCTCTGCACAAATGGGATGACAGGTGCATGCTACCATAACTAGCCATCTGTTGAGATAGAGTCCTGTGAACTTTTCGCTGGGGTTGGATTTAACGGGATCCTCCTGATTTCTGCTTTCCAAGTAGCTCGGAGTATAGGCTTGAGCCCCTGGGCGGAGCCAAACCTTTTGCTTTTTAAAAGTTACTGTCATCATCATAATTTATTTTTGTTCACCTTAGGGAAAAGTGGTGCAAATAGCCTGTACTAACATATTCCCAGGAATAGAATGGGCCCAACCTTTAACCACCTGGCCAGAGTGAAGGTGAAACAGTTCCATCTAGGCTCTTTTGCTTCAGCAGGACCCATGGATGCCAACCCCAAGGAGGGAGTGATCATAAATGATCACCCCAATGAGGAATGAATACTTCACTGTAGCCCACTGCCTTTCCTCTTTGGCCCACTTCCTCTGGTCAAACCCTGTGAGGCTTTCCTATCTCCCTCAAATGACTAGGGCACATCTTCCTTCTGGTTCCGTCTGCACTTGTAACAACACAAGCCTAAGTCCATATGCTGCAGTGGGGTTGAGTGCTGTGAGCCAGCACTGTCAGCAGCATGGTCAGCTGAGCAACAGTGAATGCTGGGTGAGTTCTGTTTGGCCAGAGCTATCACAGCCTCTGCTGCCTTTGGACTTCTGTGATGTAAAGGTCTAGGGAAGAAGGAAAGGCAGGTGTGAAAAGGAAAACAGGCTGTAACCTGTATTCCAAAGGGTTGCAGGCTACCTGGATTCCAGAGTACTGTGTCTGAGCCTCTTGGAATTCAATTCTGAGACTCCTTTGGACATCTGTAGAAACCTGGATAGCAGCGCCCAAACCAAAGAATCTGAGCTACTGCCC